CTCGTTTTTAATAGAGACGGCGGTGGTGTGAGTTAAAGCTATAGACAAAAAGCTGTGACTTTCTCCCTCTCAGCTGCACTTCCCCAGCCCCACAAACACAGGGAGGTTTTACACACACCCCCGCGGCTGCAGCTGGAGCCGTGTTTACAGAGGCGAAAGCAGTAATATCTCTGGCTGCCAGGGGCGGATCTAGACAAATATTCATGGGGTGGCAAGAGGGTGGCAGGAGATTTTGAGGGGTGGCATCCCCTGGCAGAAGTATATGCTGATTTAATCGCAGTCATATCAACAATGTTAACTTGGAAAGCCACAATATTGATATTTTAACTCAATAACATTTGCTGACATTATTGTGGCACATCACAGCTGGAGCCGTGTTGACAGAGGCGAAAGCAGTAATATCTCTGGCTGCTTATTTTCAACTGCTGTGTTGGCCGCTGAAACCCCCAGAATTCGGCGATTCGTTCAATACAAATCTTTACATTGCTTTCATACAGAAGCTCCACTTTACTGATGCCTTTCTTTAAGGTCTCTCTAAACATGAGCTGTGCATGCTTGTATGGCACTTCCGTCCCGAGCAGCTACACAGAGGAAATCAGCCAGGACTGAGTCCCCAGACACTGATCCCCTGGGTTTATTATCCCCAAATGTTCATTAACCAAAAACGAAACACAGCCGCTCAGTTTCACAGGTAATTTTAGGATACCGTCAATCACAGATTCTGGTAAGGCAATGTCCAAATGTAGATTTGAAATTACACTTACCAGTTCTGAAGATTTGTTGGTATCCTGCCGACAACGCTAATTTGTAAGGGAAACTTCTGTGTAGCAGCAATGCAGTGGGAGTCACCGACTCAGGAAAGAGACACGGGAAGAGCAGGAGCTTTGATGTCAAACACTGATGGTTTATTTGGAGCTTCGGCCGGAGAATTCACATCACAAGTCACAGCAGCCACGATTGAATGATTGATTGATTGAAAAGTTTATTAACAGCTTGTATATTGGGTACAATACAGTACAGCTCAAAACATACAATTGTTAAGGGGATGCAGACCAGAGAAAGACTTTCGTCTTGTTTACATCAGGGTCCCCCATTTCCAATTCATCATATCATTTAAGACATAAAAGACATATTTGAGATACAGATGGCATACAGATGGCATACAGATGGCTTATTTACAATTTACATACAGGTAGTTTTTTACATACAGATTGCTTATTTACAATTTTCATTTTAGATTTCGTTCTAATACATCCTAACCAGACATTTAAGACATACCAAGTCTACAGATATACAGTTAGTAACAGAGTCTAAAATGCGAGTATATACATAGATGGGGGGGGGGGGGGGGGGGGAAGCTGTCCATTGAACGGCAGGTTGAGATTTGTACCATTACCGGGGCCAGTTTTGCAATGCTCTCCCCCGAAGGTGCTCTTTAAGAGAGGTTTTGAAGGTAAGTATAGTTTTACTTTCCTTTACAGTTGTGGGAAGAGCGTTCCACCTTGATGTGGCATAATTGCGAAACGTGTATTCCCCCTTTTTTTGTGCCTCTGGTGTTATGATCATGGTATTCCTTGACCTTTGGGAAGAATTTTGACATGTACATGGGTACCATAGAGGTGTAGTGGATCTTGTAGACCAGGGGCCCATTCCAATAGTCCATTTAGCTTAGGAACCTTCCTAACCAAGTGAAATGACCCGGAAGTACGTCACTGGCAGCCATGATAAGTGCCGTTCCAATTCTCCAAATGAAAGGAAAGGAGGTTTCAAACTTCCTTTATAACCTCCTTTAGCTTAGGAACCACTGGACCTCCCTAACCGAAAGGAGAGGAGAAAATGCTGCCCCACAATGCATTGCAGCCGCAGCATTTGCCTTCACTCAACAGTCGGCCGTTCACGGAAACAACCGATTATGACCGAGAAATGATATCATGAAAGTTACGGTGCTTATTAAGCATTTTAAAACGTATATGGTAAGTTACCAAAGTGCTTTGTTCTGAACGTTCATCAGTATTATAATCAAAAAGAGAAATATGAACGTTAGTTTTTACTGAAATGATCAAATAAAGTCAACATTTCACAGTCTTTACTGAGCTGTGTGGAGTTTGTTCAACTTTTAAAAGATGTTTGAATGGTGATATACACAGTGATAGATGTTAAGGACTAACGTTTATAATAAATACATCTGTATTGATTTTAAGATCTTTTCATCAATCATACGTATTGGGATAATTTGTATTAATGTGGACCGGAGGGAGAGGGTGACGAGCATAAGTTTCACTTTCCTTTTTTATTTCAATTCCAACTTTGGTCATGAAGAATATGTTTCTCTGTTGTCCACGTTCATAAAGCATAAAGCAACAGCATCAGAGCACGGTGCAGAGTCTCTAGATGAGTTTACAGTAGTCCCTCGTTCTTATTAAACATCCATGTTGTAGTCCGCTGTATAGAAAACTGTAGTTTCCATAGTTTCCCCACAGCAGCAGACGCACATTCATGACGTCCGCTGGCGCATCATAAACACGTCGGATAGTGAAAGTGCATTCGGATTCTCTAAAATACCGCGGTCTCTTCTCCTAAATCCTTTTGAATTCTCCTATCCACTATCCCTTAACCCCGTGACGTTTCACTCAGAGGTCAAGGAATAGGAGATAGGGTTAGAATTTAGGAGCTGATTTTTGGATTATCGGAACGCAACCCAGGCCCATTGCAAGTAGCTGTACTCTCGTCTACTCTAATCCTAGGTTGTCAAAGTGGGCAGAGGTGAGGTGGGTTCTAGATGAAAGGTCAAGCAGTAGTCTGACCAGTTTATTTTTGCGATGTTTGAAGTTTTATTTTTAGCGCCTTGTAGGTAACTACCAATATTTACTAGTCGACACGTTTTTCAAAATAGCAGTCGACTAGTCGATACGTCATAATAAAGACACACAGAGAGGTGTACAACTGTATTTTATATTGGAACTCATACAGTTACATTAAACACTGCATTTTAATTTGTGTTACATGGCTGAGTAAATAACAAACAGTAACTGGACTCACCAAAATCGACAGCAAAAAAACTCTGTTTACTGAAATGCCACGTAAATCCAGTGCGCAACACTTTACTCGCTGTCCTCCACGATAACGTCCATCTTTCCAGATTGTTGGTTTGCGTTGAGGAACACCAACGCATCGACATGTGAGGGAAGGAGGCTTGACCGCTTTCGGGTGACAGTGTTGCCTGCCAGGGAAAAAACCCTCTCACTCGGGGTGCCTGTGGCTGGAATAGCCAGGTAGCTCCTCGAAAGCTTGGCTAAACGGGGGACGCGGTGCACGTTTTCTGCCCACCACTCCAGTGCGTTATCCATTGTGGGGATATGCAGTGTCCGCTGGCAGTAAACCCGTTTTTTCTTGCTGCTCGTCTGCCTCTGTCCTGTGCTGACGCCGGTCCGTTGCTCACTGGTGCTAGCATTACTGCTAGTGCTAGCTGTCGGCAGCGGGAGTCTCATCTTCAGATGGTTGCGCATAGCAGATGTATTTTTGTTGTACTTCGGTACAGCTGTACACAACTGACACTTCACTGTGGAGTTGGTTACATCGTTGTTGAAGTACTGCCATACATAAGAATGTCGGACGTGTTTTGAAGCATTTTGCAGCACCTCGTTTACCTCCATTTTTTTCACGACTAGTTGACTAGGGCCTACGACTAGTGGTAAAGGTAGTCGACTAGTCGGTGAAACCCCTAGCGCCTTGGAGGTGCTATGGTACCATGACGTGCAAGCATAGTCATAGTACCCTTGAATGAGTGCTCCTGCCAGAGTTTTCAGGGTGTTTTTGTTTACCAGAGAGGAGATCCGGTATAGGAATCTAGTTCTTTGATTGACTTTTATTACATTGGATGCCATTTTGTCACAGGAGAGGTTTGCCTCAAGAATAGATCCTAGGTATGTAATTTCCTTCCTACTTGTGACAATGTCACCCACTGCAACTGAGAAGTCGTCGGATTTGCTGAGATTATGTTTCGAACCGAAGAGAATGGACTCCGTTTTACCCAGGTGTAATGATAATGTATCTGACTGCACGGTAGAGTTGCCACGTCAATTCTCAATAACTCTACCCCAGACCCATGTATTTAGCTAGTTCCGAGAGCATCATCAACATGCTGCATAAGATAAAATCATAACACCTCTATCAGCTGACGCCAACAGGCAGGAACAGGGAGACAGAACACTGAGCGCACAGCAGCCAAGGTTACGAGGTGCGTGTGCTCAGTCAGGACAGTTTGAACTGATAAACTGGGTCAAAGTTATGGGCCTTGGAAAATATTCCCCAACAGTAAGCAGTGGCCAAATGACTGGCTTTACAATCCCTGTGGAAATCTGACGGCGTTGAAAGTCTCTAAAACAATACATGTAATGAAATGACAAAGTGACAGAACACGATGGACGTTAGCGTTAACCGGGGACACAGAATTTGACGGGTAGCAGAATAAGCTGCAACACTAGTAGCCTACAGACATCGCCAAAAATTGAACAGAGAGTACCTGGACTAGGAAGAGATAAACTTTGTATACAGTTGTTCTGCACATTTGAAGTTCTAGTTTTTAAACTCAGAGTGAGCATTTCCAAGTATTTGAGGGTTGTCTTGCTCCATTGGCTGTGAATTCTGTTAAGGTTTGTTGCGTTTCCTAAAGGCGGAATAGACAACACGCACAAAAAAAAACTCCAATAATGTTTTAGTGCGTCTCAAGTAGGCGGGGCAATAACAACTTCAGAATGTCTATCATTTAGCACCTAAATCAACTTATCATTTTGAGTTGTTTATTATATAGGATATCATTTCTACATATGTTTATGCTTCTCTGCATTTTCTTGGAGTTATGAGGGTACTGGTTGACACAGAACCTGCTTTTATTAATATGTCCCTTAAAATTGACCACAGAAGATGCAACACATTGATAAAAGCGACTATAAATAAATGTGGCTTTTTTTTTTTCCGTTTATTTTTTCAAAATACACGAGTCGTTATTGTCATCCATCAATATACAAGGCAGTACAGTACATTCATTGATAAAACTGTCCCCGTGGTCCCAAACAACACAATGAACTAATGTACATAAGGTGCAAATGACAAAATGTAAACACTAGTAGAAAATATTCAGAGGTTAGACAGAGTAATTGCCCCAGAGGAGATCTGCCTTTGGCGTGTTGAGTCGGTGCTTCTTCGCTCTGCAAAACAAGTAAAGATTACCAACTGCACATCCAGATCGACTACATTTGTTCAGACTCGGTCACTTACCCTTTTTTACACCTGCAGGTCTTGAGTAGCTCTGACCTGGAGGATGCACACACTGGCCTCTGCAGGAACCATCTGCCTGGCTGCTTGTGTCACAAATCACTGCATCACAGTGGACATAGATCTGTGGATGGACAGGATGATTTATTACACATGGCTACATATAGCAGTGGCTAAAAGACTCCAGATTTGGATTTACAAGTCTTACCTGGTCTTTCAGAACCTTGTCATCTTTAGTGAAAGTGAACATCTTTACAGAGAAGCGCTTGATGTGGGACGGGACTAAAACTCTGGAGTCACTCACAACGGGATGGAAAATTGTTGCATAGCTGTCATTGCGATTCTCACAGCTAGTGAAGGAATTCGAAAGTTAATAAAGCAGCAGTTAAACAAATGAAATGAGTAGTTAGTAGTTAGTTTTGCACAACATTACCTGTCCACAATGATGTCCCAGCTTGGCAGAGATGTCCTATCTTCATAAAGGGTTGCCCAACAGTTCTCAGCAATGAGTTCCAAGTGCGGGTCGGTAGAATGCATCAGCTCCACCTCAAAATACAGAGGCTGCTGCAGATATTTCACCACTGGATAATCCTCTGCTTGGTAGAAGCGCTCGTAGGATGGATCTGCAGGAGAAGAGTCCCGTTAGAGAAAGGCGGCCTGGACATTTACAGTTTCATTTCAAACCGTTATTTAAATCAGATCAGTCCCTTGAGATCATAGATCTCTTTTTCAAGGGAGACCTGCAAACAGTGTTTTGTATGCATGAACAAGATGTTGTAAAATTCCACCATGCCTTGGGAAAGCCTCATCTGCACCATCAGCTGGCCGGTGCCGATCTCTGCAGCGGGCTCATAGGTTCTTGGTTTAGCGCTGAAGGCAACAGTCTGAGTCTCATTGACCACATAGAAGCAGGAAATGGTTTGCCTATTAGGGGAAAAATAATATATAAATGCATACATTGAAGGTGTTCATCTCCAATTATACAGAATCAAATGTTTTACCTGTAATTCAGGATCAACTGGTGATGTGTTGGCTGCTCCTTTGGCGTTGTTGTAAGACAGGCGGATCTCATTTTCATACATCATGTAGTTGTCAAAGAACTATTTAACAACAAAAACGTATTAACATTTGACAAAAAACCCTTTTGATATTTAAATGTGATTCACACTCACCGTTCTGGTGGTTCCACAGGTATCCACACTGAAGGAGAAATATGCAAAGCGATCGTCGCTGAACTGTGGTGTGCAGGACTGGTCCCTTTAGCGTCAGCTGACTTGGCTTCAGATTACGAGTCGATTCAACCTTCACAGCCACAGCGGTCATTGTGCCATTGGGGTGGCACTCTGAGGATGAAGCAGGCAATGTGTAAGCAACACAAATCCATCAATTAAAGCAGCAAGATATCGGACATGTTCACCATCTTACCGTGTTTGCTTTTAAGGGGAAGTAGCAAGCCAGATAGAGATCAGCAAGCACCCAGTCGTTGCACGATCCAACAGAAGCAGGTAAATTCTGGATTTGACTGATTCTGCAGTGAGCAGCTGTGGAAAAGAAAGTAAAGTTAGCCAATGCAGAAGATCTATGGTGGGATTTTTGTAGTTTTGACATACCTCGAAAACCGCGTCCTTGGCAGTGTATGGCAGAATGAGGCTGAGGTGTGTGCCGTTCTCATAGAAATTGTAGTCTTCAGCCATCTCAGCCGTCAGCTCTCGAGGTCCAACGATAGCCTTGAAATTAGAGCCGTGACTCCCGAACTTCACGCTGATGTAAAACTGGTTCTGGTCACAGGTGCCAGCCATGATGGGTAACACTAGAGCAGCAAAAACATGCATTATCCATTTGATTGTGTAGCTTTTACTCTCATATATGTTTTATTTAATTTTAGAAACACAATTTGCATGAAGATATTGTCAAAAGCAAATTCAATCTGATCTCACCAACTATCCTGCAGAGAGGCCTGCAGGTCGACCGGAGAGCAAAAGGAGTTTCTTCAGGCAGGACGATCAACCCAAAGATCAGAGGGAGGAAGTAGGATGTAACCAAGCGCTCAGGATTCTGCAACAAATGAAATAAAAGCTCAGCAAGCACTGAAAATATGCTGGTACAAAGTGATATTTTGAATCTATAATTGTCATACATGTTTTAAGACAACATCGGCATCAAAGGGCACTTGAAGAGAGAAGCTCTTGGAGCCATTAGCCAAGCTGTGTTCCTGGACTGTGAAGCCTTTGGCATTGCTCTCCTCAACAGTGAGGACCCCGGTGGAGAAGGTGATGTTCCTCAGCTCAACGTCATGGAGGAAGGTTCCCAAGAGAACGCTGAACACCCGAGTCTCTGGGACAGTGTCTGAGGAACAGAAAGTGGCAGGTTTACAACTTCTAAACCAGCCTCAACATTGATAGAGAAAAATTGAGTAGTTGGATTGAGTGCTATTTAAAAAAAACAAAAAAGTGCCCTTTGTAAGCAAAAGTAGATTTTGTACTTGGCTTCAAATCCCATCCAAACACACCATTTTGCAAAAACTGAAGACTTTATTTAATGGGTTTAGCAGTCTTTAGGATATATCCGAGCAAGCCCGAGTTCAAATGTCATTTTTTTCATACCTACTAGAAAATGTGACTTACCATCCTGGATTTGGGGAGATTGAGGCATCAGAGGGGTCATGATTGGGGACACAAACCTTGTATCTGGTATCATCTTGGGTGTCATCTTCTCCTCCACAGTACCTCAAGCATGGGCTCCACAAAGTAGGTGATGTGGTACTGGTAATCTGGGGCATGGCTCTGCAATAATTCATGACCTTTTCAATAAAACATGCAAATGCACTAGTGACTCTTGCATTTATAATCTAGAGATTTCCCAACCTTGTAGTAACCATCAGGCGAGCCCACTGGGATCTCGACGACGATGTGGAAGTCTGTGGTGCTCAGTGTGTACCCCCGTGCGGCCATCTGAGATCTATCAAGCCTCTGCCCGTTGATTCCCATGTGCATTTCTGAGACTGTAATTCTGCCGTCCAACAGAGGAGTCACACGGCGAGGTACGTGCCAAGAGATCATATCCTCGGTGAAGAGGACGCCACCTGTTAATGACAAAATGGAGCTGTTGAGGTTAACTGTGCAACAATTAAGCTTACTGTGAAGGCAATATGTTGCTCAGGACTCACCTTTGGGACAAGCAGCTGCCAAGTTCA